TTTTTAGAGAATTTTAAAAGAAAGAAACAATAAAGAATTTCACCGAACAAAATGATGGGAATTCAACAATGGTTGTCATACTGCCTGTCTTGTTGTCTTCAAGTCACTTGCTCAGATTACCAGATATAAGTTTACAAAATTGGTCCCAGAAAATTAAAAAGAAGGGGGAAAAAGGTAAGCATTATTCCTTTCAGTAGACCAGTGGAAAGCAGCAGTATGTTTTTCTTTTTTTATTTCTCCTTTCATACGCAAATACTAAGAGCTGGGCTCACCCTGCTTTAAATAAAATGCACACTGTTCTTGCAATCCTACCTGTCCCGCCCTTCTGAATTAAGTTCTTCTTTCTTCTCCGTCCTTCCCTGCCCCAACATATCTGATTTCTGTCTCAGGACATCATTCAGGCCCGTGTCCCTTCCTCTCTTCACCGGGGCACAGAATTTTCCCACCAGGACATAGTTGACAGCCCATAAAGGTCTTCGCTTAAGTAAGAAGTCCACTCTGTGAACCCTAACCCAGACAAACGCAACGGCACACTGCGTCTCCTATCAAAATTTATTGAAAGAGTAGATTTATTACAAGAACAAAAACACAAGCAAGGGGCCCGGGAGGAACTGTTCCCCGTAAGGACCCACTGGGCCAAACACGCCTTGGTCTCCTCAAGACTCCTCAAGATAAAAGCGACCAGAGGTGGAAGCAGCTGTCTGCCCCGAGCCTTTAGCTGCCAAGCCCTCCAGAGAGTGTAAACAAGGGCGGAGGGACTGGTTCCCAGTCGTGGCCCTAGGGCCATTGCTGTCCCTTAGCACTGCTCAGCTCAGTCCCCCCCCCCCCCCCCCCCGGGTTTACCCCCTTCTGACCACCACTGGCAATGCAGATGTCATCTGAATCTCACAGATGTCTGTCTCTGCTCTGTCCATTTCTGCCAGCACAGGGCTCGGAGGTGAATTGGGTCAGGGGACTCAGGGGACTCCTGGCTTCTTGAGGCTGCCTGGGCCCCCTCCAGAACCACATGAGTCTCCCCCAGTGTCTCGGGGTGCAGACAGGCCTGACAGCGCCTTGGAGCTGAGGGTCATCACCCAAGTCTTAGGCAGGGGAGCGAGGAACCACGCAGCCCAGGTGCTGAAAGGCGGGACCACAGCTCTGACCACGAGACAGAAAAGTGGACAGTGTGTCCATCCTTGCAGGCTACAGGCCTGGGGCAGAAGCAGAAGTTTCAGCTGTCTAGAAACCCTGCCCACTGTGCGTTCCCCCAAATCTGTGGGTGGCAGTTTGCGACCGAGCAGCCCACTCTACCACGCTGTCTGTGTAAGCCTGCCTCTCGGATCTGGAAGCTCCAGGCCACCGCAGGCCAAATCTAGTGAAGATAAGCAGTGTGTTGCTGCAGCGATCTCACTACTTGGTGACAGTCACCCTCCACAGCTCAGTTACTTAAGGCAAGCTGGGAGCCAGAGAGGAGGGGCTCAGGGCTTGCCAGGCTTGGCGATCAGTGCATCCGGGGCTCCTCTGCTGCTGCTGCCGGGGTCCTCGGTGAGCTCCACGCTTGTGCTGCGGTTATTATCTGGTTCCCCAGGGGGCGTCCTCCGGAGGCAGCGGTTGATGAGCCCGGAGAAGAAGTTGGGGAAGGACGGGCTGGAGAAGTAGTACACTACGGGGTCCAGCATGCTGTTCATGTAGGTGAAGCTGAGAGTGATGAAAAACGCCAAGTCCACCGAGCGGTACATGGCGCAGCTCTGCATGCCCGACTTGGACAGGAGCCAGAAGATGCGTATCCGCACGGCCACGCTGGGCAGGAAACAGATGATGAAGACCACGGCCACCACCATGAGGAAGCGGATGGCCCTCTTGATCTTGGCGTGCCTGTCCATCTGTCTCTGCCGCAGGCTCCAGATGATTCTGGCCGAGCAGAAGAGGATGATGGCGAGGGGCAGGAAGAACTCCAGGAGGAACATGGCATCGTGCCACCGGAAGGTGTTGCAGATGCTGAAGCTGCTGCACAGCTTGGCAGAGCCGTAGGGCACCAGCAGCTTGCTGTAGAGGAGGTGCACGGTGAGAGCGATGGTGACGGCCCACAGCAGGCAGGAGATGATAGCCGCTGTGCGGTTAGACATCTTATTGAGTGCGTGGTGGGGGTGCACCACCCGGAAGTACCTGTCCACGGCCACCACGGTGAGGAAGATGATGCTGCCCTGCCGGTTCATGGCCAACATGAAGAGCATCAGGCGGCAAGCGACATCCCCGAACTTCCAGTCCCACTTCTTCAGGTAGTTGTCTGTCAGGAAGGGCAGACAGATGATCAGGAGAAAGTCGGCCACAGCCAGGTTGAACAGGAAAATCCGGCTGGATTTCCAGGATTTGAGATGGAAGCAGAAAATCCACAGGGCAAGCCCGTTGCCCAGCAGCCCGAACACGAACTCCAGCACCAGCACGGGCGGCAGTACCTTGGCGATGGCGTCTTCTGGGAAGATGCAGCAGTTCTTTGGGCCGATGGGCAGAAAGAAACCTGAGGCACTCGTGGGTGGGCTGGCCCAGGCCGCGCTGGAGCGCACACTCATGACTGCTCTGGGAGAGGCTGGCAGTGTGGCGAACGTGTGGTTCAGCCCTCAACTTTATGTCATTGGGGTGTTGAAATAGATGACTGGATGGTTACCAGGAAACTACGAAATCTCTTAAAAAAAAAAAAAAAAAAAAAAAAGCTGGCCAGGCTCTTATGCAACCTGCTGTTTGCATAAACAAGCAATAAAATCCCCAGCGCAGAAAGGAACTCACCGATTTCCCTAAGTATAAAGGATAGGTTTAGGCAGGCAGACTGTGGATTATGAATTGCTGAACTGTGGGGGACACCCCTGCAGGAAGGCGGCGTGTGCTTCTGGGGCAGGGCTTAGCACTGGAGCACTGAGCTTGCTGTCACTCGCTTGAGTGGCATAATTAACAAGCCCACTGTGGCAGTAGGAGCAGGGCTGCACTCAGCAGCTTGGTTTTCCAGAAACTCTAAGGAGTAGCACGAAAAAGTAGACGCATCTGATGTAAGAAACGAAGCGTACGATCGCTTTTGGAAAGGCTGAGGAGAAAGCCCTTGCTCATTATAAAACTGGGCCCTTTTCCTCCCCCGCCGCTGTGCAAACACAGGTTGCTTTTCTACACTGAACTCTGCAGTCTCTAGTTAGAAAAGAATGCCGGGCTAAGGGGTGCCGGGCTAGGGGGCGCCAGGTGTGGTGGCCCACAGCGGTAATCTCAGCCCTCGGGAGGCTGAGGCAGGAGGACTGCCACAAGTTCAAAGCCAGTGCAGGCTACATAATGAGTTCAAGGCCAGCCTGGACTGCATAGTGAGACCCTGTCTCAAAAAACAAAGATAAACAAAAAGTCTGTTCTTAGTGTGTGTTTGCCGTCCATAGTGATTACACTCAACGGGGCCGCATGATACTTTTTTAGTACATATGCTACTGAAGCGAGTGCAACACATGATATTTTTAAGCCCTCATTTTAGTAAAACTAAATTAAGAGCTGCAGGACCTAAGGGGATGCTGAGCCCTGCCACGTAGGAGGACATCAGTTCTTGGATTTTTTTTTTTTTTTTTTTTTTTTTTTTAGTGTAATTTACTGTCATCATGATTTTTTTTTTCTTTTCTTTTTGTTTATATTTTAAGATTGGGTCTTGCTATACTGTCCAGGCTGGCCTTGAACTTTCTTTTTTTCTTTTTCTTTTTCTTTTTTTTGCAGAACCGGGGATTGGACTCAGGCCCTGAGCTTGCCAGGGAAGCGCTTATTCTACTGAGCCATCTCCCCGGCCCAAACTTTTTAATTTTTAAAAACTCATTTATTTATTTATTTATTTATTTATTTGCTGCAGGGTCTACTAGCAGCTCAGACTCGTAGTGATCCTCCTGTCTCAGCCTCCCCAGCGCAGGGATTACAGTCCTGTGCCACCACGCCCGGTTTCAGTGACTGTCATAGCACGCCTAGGGTTCCGGGGCCGGCACAACACGGCATGCAGTACCAGAGACTGAAACTAGGTCCCTGTGCTTTCCAGGCAAGTGCTTAGACCTCTGAGCTATCTCCCCAGCCCTAGCCTTGAACTTGTATATTTAGCCCAGGTTGGCCTTTAATTTATGATCCTCCTGCCTCAGCCTCCCAACAAGCTGGGACTGCAGGAGTGAGTCCTAATTAATTACGTGGTTCTATTTTTGAGGTAGAAATTGGAAATGTATTCTTTTTTTTTTTTTACATTTTATTTAGTGTGTGTGTGTGTGTGTGTGTGTGTGTGTGTGTATGTGTGTGTGTGGCCAGCTCAGCCCACCAGGGGGCACGGCTGGCTGGCATGTGGTGCTGGGGGATCGAACCGCGGTCCCTGTGCTTTGCCAAGCTTGTTCTAAGTAGGTGCTTTAGACCACTGAGCCATCTCTCCAGCCCCTGGAAATGTATTCTTTTAGTTGTGTGCCTACATTCAGTAACAGGAGTTGATAGACCCTTCGTGGAAGAGGATGAGGCTGTAATAGTAGAACCCTTCAGGACGAGAGGACTTATGACCCCGAGGGATGATAACAAAGATGATTAGGGCACCTGCGCTGCAGAGCTTCCAGTGGGCCCACTGTCTTATTGTACCCTCGGACTATAGCCCACGAGGGAGGGACTGTCACTGATCTTATTCCTTTGTCTTTTCTGCCTTTGCTCATTTATTCACTTTTTGAGACAGGGTCTCACTAGGTAGCCCCGGCTGGCCTCAACCTCACAGCGCTCCTCCTGCCTGCGCCTCCCAAGTGCTAGGGTGACAGGTCGCACACCCCGCCCAGCAGATCTGAGTGCAGAATGAAGAAAGCAGAATTCAGAGAGGCCGATAATTTGCTCGAATCGCCCAGCTAAATGACAGCAGAGCTGTCCTCCAGGCCCGTGCCCCTGACCACTACACTACCCCGCGTTTTGTGTATCCAGTGGGCTTGTGACGTTGCAATGGGTTAAGGTCAGTGCACTAGTGCTACTGAAGTGACTGGCCTTTCTTTCCTGCCCTTACTTCCTGTGAGCCCCATGCTTTCTTCGTGGATAACCATGGGCTCGTCACCGACACCCCCACGGTACTCCTGAGGGCCTCTGTTAGCCGGCAGTCCAGACAGCTATGGATGTAGTTATTTCTGGGAGCTGGAGTTGCAGGGAACCCTCCTTCCTCACTGTTACCCCTTTACATTTTTAAAAAAGCAATTCTCATGGATAAAGTCAACAGAGTTTGCGAGAGGAGACAAGCTGGGGTTTGCTCTGGCTCTGTCGCTGATGAGCGGTGCCGCCTTTGAGCCCTCTGGCTTCCTCTTTGGGAAACTGAGGCACTTGGTGAGGTCTGTGTGTGCTTTGGGTCTCGTAGTCGGGTTCTAGACCAGTTTCCAAGCTCTCAGGAGGCCGCGGCTCAGGGCCTCCCTGCACTCGGTGTCGCTGTGGAATTTCCGGTCTTCCCACTACACAGAGGGCAGGTTTTGTCTTGCTCGGCCCCTCTTTACCTACTTGTGTTTTCTTCCTAGGGCATGCGGTGTGCACAAACCTGCCTTCATGAATCACTTCAAGGACTAAGGAAGTGATCCTACCTGGGGAAACCGACTCTCACGAGGAACTTGGTCTCCGCACTTGGCTAGCCTCGGCCAGGCTGAAGGTGCGCCACAGGATGTAGTTGACTTGAGACAGAGCCCTGCTCTCTTCTCCAGGTTGACCTTGAACTCTGGGCTCAACTCTCCTCTCCTTCAGAGGAGGTGGGACTCTAGGTGCGTGAGACAAATTGCATACACTCAGTACTGAGCTGCTCTTGGAGAAGAGGCTCAGTGGTAGAGCTCTTGCCTAGAATGTCCCCAGCACCACACACACACACACACACACACACACACACACACTGCAGCTGACATTTACCGACTATTTGTTATATGGTAGAGATTTTCATGTATGATGTCGTTTAATCTTCACTCAAGCCATTCGGGAGTGGTGTTCTCATGATCATTCCCATTTCACAGATTGAAAAACTGAGTCTTACATTATTTACTTAGCTGCTTTCTGACTTTGACCAAGCTGGGATTCCTGGTTTAGTTATTCATTTCTGTGTAACACACCACAGCCCTCAGGAGCTCCCCACAAGCCCTTATGGTTCCTCGGGCTGTCTGGGCTCAGCTGGACACCTCTCACGTGCAGCCCTCCGGGGCAGCTGGGCTGAGGTTGCAGGGATGGGCAAGCCGGACACCAGCTCCTGTCCTGCTTCATAGAATCTTGTGCCTCTCTTAGTGACTTTTCTGTGTGATGTTTTTTCTTCCTTTCCTTCTTACCAAGGACTGACCCCAGGGCCATTGCACTGAGCTACACCCCAGCTTTTTTAAAAAAAAAATATTTTGAGACAAGGCCTCTCTACCTTGCCCTGGCTGGCTTGAACCAGTGATCCTCTTGTGTCAGCCTCAGAGTAGCTGACATGACAGGAGTACGCCACCATTCCTGGCCCCTTGTGGCTTCTTTGACTGGCCTGTCCGGGTGGTCTGACCGAGGGGCATCGACACACGGTGTCTGTCCCTTTTCTCCCCTAGGGGAGGCTGAAGGCCCTGTGGGGGCTGCCAGGGGCTTCAGGAAGGCACAAGCCGCCCTGCTTAACGCTGGGATGCAGAAAGAGCCCCAGCCTTTGTCCCCTCCTTGGTCAAGCAGGTCATAGAGCCAATCTATGTCCCACCAGGGGGACACACAGATGAGAGAGCACAGATCTCCGGGCCCACAGGCACTTGGGCTAGACAGGCAAGGTCTGTACATGGGTCTGAGCATAGACGAGGCCCACGGGGAGCCTGCCTCGCATCACCAGTGGGCCGGGTCGCAGCCCCCGGGCTGCCCCCGTGTAAGCCCCTCTCTGCCCCGAGATCCAGCCCTCTCCAGGCTGCTGCAGCAAACACTGAGTGACTTCAGACACTTTCTGAACCTTAACCAAGGGTTTTTGTGGTGTGTGGGCTTTTATTTTTGGTATCAGGAATCAAGCTCAGGACCTTATACTTGCTAGGCAGGCACATGTGCCACTGAGCTATATCCCTGACCCAAGATTTTGTTGTTATTATTTGTTTTTATTATTGTTGTTGCTGCTGTTGTTTTATACAAGGTCTCACTACAAAATTCGGACTTGTAGCGATCCTCCTGTCTCAGCCTCCCCCCCTGCTGGAATTGCAGACATGCACCACCAGTGTGCCCGGGGTTCTGGGGCCAGGACAGTGCACCTGAGGTTCCGGGGCCGGCACAGCACGCAGTACTGGGCATAAACTTGGGACCTTGTGCTTGTTGGGCAGGTGCTCATGCCACAGGGCTATCTTCCTGGCCCTGTTTATTTAAGAAACAAACCCATCTTGCTGGGTGTGGTGGCCCACACCTGTGATCCAAGCGCTGGGGAGGCTGAGACAGGAGAATCACTGTGCATTTGAGGCCAGCCTGGGCTACATAGTGAGGCCCTGCCTCAACAAAACAAAGCAAAGCTAAGCAAAGCAAAACAAAACAAAACAAGACAAAACAAAACAAAACAAAACAAAACAAAACAAAACAAAACAAAACAAAACAGCAAAACCGTCCTGAGAACAGACTAGCGCTTAAACTTTTACCACTGTCAGGACCAATAAAATGTTTTCACTCCCACACAAGCCCCAGGACCCCCTCAGCTCTCCTGTAACTTTTCCTAAAAAACCTGAGGGGGCGGGGGCAAACAGCTCACTGGATTAAAGCTCTGGGGAGTTTGATCCCCGGCCCTGCCATGCCAGCCCCACCCCCGGGATGTGCTGAGTGGCCCACGCCTGTAATC